AATGTAAAAGAATCTGTAAAGGTATTTGAAGACAATGCTGCCTGTATAAAAATGGCAACTGGTGATAGGGTGAAGAACAGAAGTAAACATGTAGACATTAAGTATTGTAATGTCAGGGAAGCTGTAAAAGGAAAATTGATTAGTTTACATCATTGTTCTTCTGAGGATAATTTGGCAGACATGATGACTAAACCATTGGTCTTCACTATGGAAAATGTATTAAGTCTATAGGTCTGATGTCTCTTCCTGTCATGAAGGGAGGAGTGTTGGAATATTCATGAGCAGGAAGAGTCATGTGGTAACTCAGTCAGCCAATGTGAAGAAAGTGCTACTGAGTCTGTGCAAAAGGTTTGAGTTAGAAGCTGGATTTTGGTTTCAAGTTTCAGGTCTCTGGTCTGTCTCTGCTGTAAGAAGTCTTCATTTATGCTATGTTGCTATGAAGAAGTATATATGGTATTGTAAATATTTTTATATGAATATAAAGAGTTTATTTGAATCAGCTAAATGCAGTCAACTGTGAGAGCTTCTGATTTATTTTTACCAACAGAGAAATTAAAATTCTCTAACAGAATCCAAGTATAGAGCAGATGCTTAAAAATTCATGGGAAATAGCCTTACCCATTTATCTGGGAACAGTTTGATCCTGATAGACAAAGTCCTCAAAGCTGTCAGTAAAACTACCTGTCAATTAGATCCTTTTCACTCCTGGCTTGTGAAAGTCTTGAGGATGGTGACCGCTAATTGGGTTCAGGCAGTGATAAATTCATCACTGCAGGAGGGAACATTACCACGACCTTTTAAGGACACCTGAGTCTTCTCCCACCTTAAAAAAACCATTCCTAGATCCCACCTGCTTGGACAATTTTCATCCACTTTCTCAACTTTCCTTTCCAGTCCTTCAACATTTAAAAATCTTTGTTATTTTTTCTCTGACCAAACTGGTCAACTTTGCCATTTCTGCAAGTTCAATTAATTTTATAATCCAATCTTTGTTGTATTTCGTTGCTTTTCTATCTTTTTGCTTATCATAATCTTGCCACAGCCAAGCGCTTAATCCCTGATGAAAACATACACACTCCATTTCTTCATACCCATCAAATGAATACTTGCTCAGGTATATCAATGAATATAACATTTGCATAATTTCTTCTCAAAAAGCATATCTGACCTGAAGTGGTCTGAAGCTGGACTATGCTCTGTCCTCTCATTAACAAACCTTGTTTTCTGCAGAATACTGACTGCATTTTTTTCTCTGTAACATTATAAGGATATACAGGTAGTCTTTGAGTCATGACTACTCATTCAGTGACCAAAGTTAGGATGGCTCTGAACAACAATGGTCCTTAGAGTTGAGACTGTTGCAGTGATTGCAATTTGGGTGCCTGGCTACCGCCTCACAATTATGATGGTTGCAGCATCCTGTGGTCACATAATCACCATTTGCAACCTTTCTTGCCAGTTTTGCATCAGCAAAGTCAATGGGGAAGCTGGCAGGTTGCAAGTTGTTCCTGCTTCTGCTGCTTTTTTGTCCATTTGCAGCACCCATTTGTCTGCACTCCCAAGTGCCCACCTGCAGTGCCTGGCTGCCCATAACTCTCATTAACCGACCTGCTTGCATGGGACTCTTGCCTTTTCCCATGTCATGGTCACGTGAGGTTCTCACTTAATGACCTATATTCCTAGGGTTACAACAGCAACCGAGACTGCCATCACCAAATAATGTGATCACATGACATTACAAAACCAAAGGAACACCTACACTCTTGATGACAGGTTCTGTGAATGTGTGGCTCAGTTTTAAAAGAAGCATCTTGCTGTATGACTTACAGAAATATACATTGTTTCTACTTTAAAAAATAAATTGAATACATTTACAATTCTCTTTTTAATCTCTTTCCCTTAGGTAATTTCTTATTGTAAAAGTTGCCTGAAGAATTTTGCTATAAACGCTGCCTCTCTTAGTCACAGCTATCACTCCTCCCCCCCACATTGCTGAACTAAAGTGCTAACCATCCATTCTTGAATTAGCAAAAAGCTATATTACCATGAAATACGTTGTTAATTGCTAATCCCTGTTTGCATCTATTAAGTCTATTCTCAGTGACAGCACTTATCCAACTGCTTTCCAAAGTGGATAATAAAAGCTTAACAGATTTGCAGAATTTAGAATAGAATAGAGCTGGAAGGGACCTTGGAAGTCTTCTAGTCCAGCTCAAGCAGGAAAACTTATACCATCTCAGACAAGTGACTGTCCAGTCTCTTCTTAAAAACCTCCAGAGATTGAGGTTGCCCTTGGAATACTTTACAATACCCTAAGAATGACTTAAGGCTATCTCTGGTTACTAGGTATGAGGTGAGGGATGAAGTGAGGGATGAGATGAGGGCAAATTATGCAGATACAACAGGAAAAGGTTAAATATGCATGGGAAAGTTCTTACTATATCAGTGATTCACTGGCAGAATTTTCATATTTGATTGATCAGCCATCCTAATACCAATATATGCTCTCCTCCAATAGTTCCCATCCCATAATTTTTTTTTATTTAAAATTTTTTTGTTGATTTTTCAGTTAAAAACAAAAACATAAATCTTTTATCACAATATCAACCAAGAAACACTAATCAATACATTCACGGACGTGTCCGGTGTCCCCCCCCTGCACCCCCCTCTTTCAATTACTACACCTTCCTCCTCCCAATCCTACAACCTCTCCTCCTTCCTCCCTCTTTCCTACCTCCCTTCCTCTCTCAACCGTCCCGTCTGGTGCAGTTGGGGTACCCACCGGACACCTCCTTAAAAAATCATACATATATATACATATACATATAAATCTACAATACAAACCTATCCCTTTCCCCCCTCCCCCCCCAGGACTTCCCAAAGCTAATCCAGGAAATAAACGCACAATAATCCAATTCTATTCAAAACTACTCATTATTACTACACACTAGTATAAACTTACTGTGACTCTAAAATAACGTTAAAATACATACAATTTTTTTTAAATATGTCAATATTTGTTGTACATATTTTTGTTTAAAATTTTTAATCAAAAGCTACATGATAATTATTCAGTTCATACTTTCTCTGAATATAATCTATCCATCTTCTCCACATTAAGATAAATTTCTCCTGAGAATGATCCTTCAGGTACGCGGATATTTTTGCCATCTCTGCAAAATACGATACTTTCTGTCTCCAATCATCCATAGTTGGTAACATCTTTTTTTTCCAATTTTGCTGCTGTTATATAGTACAACATCAATTTCATTTCTTTTTGATCCAAATTATCCATAATACCCAATAAAAATAACTGCGGTGTAAATTTTATCTTTTTCTTAAAAATCTGTTGAATATTCCACCAAATCTTAATCAAAAAGGCTTTAATATCCCTACATGTCCACCAAATATGATAATAAGTAGCATCCATACTATCGCATCTCCAACATTTTGGTTGCAAATTC